ATTTTATAGAGAAGAAAATCTTAAAACTAGTCTAATAAAGATTCTTCTAGTAGAATATATAAAAATTTATTATAAATTATTATAAAACTTATAATATTTACTAGAAATTATAAGTATTATATAAAAAGTAATAAAAATTATTAGAATCTTTACTAGTCTTTATAATACTTTAAAAAATAAATTAATATAGATTTTATTATTAATTTATCTATAAATATTAAGTATAAAGACTTAAATAATATTTATAAGATATATATTACTATTCTAATAATAATAAACTATATAAATAAAATAATTTACTTTATTCCTATATAAAAGTTAATTAAGAATAAAGAATTAGTATATATAATAATCTATAAAATATTCTAACTTTATAGAATCCCTATAAATATTATAATAGATTATAAAATAATCTTTATAAAGAGATTTTAGTTAGATTTTATATATTATTTATAAGTTAAATACTTAATAAGTACTATATACTATCTATAGATAGATAGTTAAATAGAATAGTTAAATAGTATATTAGAATAGTATTTATAAAGATATATAAACTTTATATAAGATAATTAAATAGATTATATCTTTTTTATAGAGTTTATCTATAATAATTTATAATAGATATTAATTAAGGAAACTCTATTTTATATAATATATAAAATAGATCTAAGAATTATTATATTAGATCTATATCTAGGAAATAAGATTCTTTCTAATATTATAAACTAAGCTAAATATTTTAATAAAATTTAAAAAAAGGTCTAGACTAGTATTATAAAAATCTAAAAATAATAAATTAAGTATTATAATAGAAAAAAGATTATAAAAATCTTTTAGATTAATAATTATATTTAAATTAATAACTAGAATTAGTTATAAATTAGATTTAATAAGAAGCTAGATTAGCTTAAAACTAGTCTATAAAAATAATTAAATAAATTAATATAAATATTTATTAGATTTTATTATTTATAAGATTAAAGATCTATAATATTTTTTATATATTTATACTTTATAAGTATTAGAAGATAGAAGATATAAATACTTATAAATATTTTAAATCAAGATTGTGGCAATGCCCGCCTTTCATTGCCTTTTGTCGCCTTGTTATTATAGCATGCCTATTATTGCCTTGCTTTACTTAAGCTAATACTGATTTAGCTTAGCTAATAGTTAGTTAATTATTCTAGACCTGCTATTTCTACCTAGCTATCTATTTTGATTAATAGATTATCTTTTCTAATAACTTTAACTTTTATAATCTAGTAATATATTTATTATTTAAGGATCTCTAATATTATTTTTTATTAATTTTTATTAAATTTTATCTATATAAAGTTCTGTATAAAGTAATATTTAAGTTCTATATATTTTCTATTATATTTCTAATATTCTAATATATTTTATATTTTATTTACTATTATTTTCTCTATCTTTATTTCTATAAACTCTACTCTAATTATTAGATTTTATTAATATTATTTTTAGTTTATTAATTTATATCTTAGCTTTATTAAATCTAAATCTTATTTATTAAAATCTTGTATTTTAATCTTTTTTAATCTTTATTTTATTTATAGCTTTATTTTAATACCTATAAAATCTAAGCTATACTTAACTAAACTTAGCTATTAACTTTATATATTTTATAAAATATTTCTAAGTTTATATATATTATAATTTAAAAAGTATATAATCTATCTTATTAAATTTATAGTTAAATATATCTCTTTCTCTATTTTTATAAAGAATTTATAGTATCTTATTTTATAGAAAATTAATTACTTTTTAATTAATAAGATTATTAATAAATTTCTCTATTTAATTAAGAAAATATATTATAATTATTATCCTAATTATCTAGAGTAGCTTAGATTAATAATTATCTAGAAAGCTAATAATATAAATCTAATATATTCTCTTAGTACTAGTTTATATACTTCTTTTATTATATTAATATTATATATATTCTCTATTTTTAATAAAGGTAAAGCTAAGGCTATTATTTCTAAAGATTAACTTTATTAAGATATTATTAATTAATTTATATTTATAGTTAATATATTTTTTTCTATACCTATACCTTTTACTCTTATTTTAGTAAATACTAAATTAACTAATCTTTTAAATACTCTATTTACTATTTATTCTATTTAAGTATATTATTAAGTATCTCTTTCTCTAAATATTTAAAAATATCTATTTTTTAATAATCTTACTATACTAGATATTTTAGAAGGTTTTATTATAATTAAATCTCTTATTATTAAATCTATATCTAGTAATTTTACTGCTTCTATACTATTTAATCTAGCTAATATATTTACTCTAAATAAATAATTTTAATTTAGATTTTATATTAATTCTTCTATAAGATCTACTATTAAGTTTAGTACTAAACTTAATACTTATCTAAACTACTAATCTTATATATATTTAAGAAAGCAAGCCTGTTATTAATCTATAAGTCTATTATTAAACTCTTATAATATATTATTAAATACTAGATCTAGCTATAACTATAATACTAAATCTCCTGTTACTAGTAATTTAATAAGTAATTCTATAAATTAAGGCTCTAAACCTATTATGTATAACCTTATATATATACTGTAATAAATATAAGCTATAATATAAAATAATTAAACTATTATTAATACTTATATAGTAGAGCTTAAATTAGGTTTTTATTAATTTACTAGTTATTATATCTAATCTTATTACTATATTAGTAGTAGTAGATCTCCTAATAATAAAGACTTTTTAGATAATAAGAATATTAATAATCTATTTAATAATAATTATTATAATAATACTAATAGAAATATAAATAATAATACTAATATAAATCTTATTTTTAAAGCTATAAATACTACTAGTAACTAGAAGACTAATAATATTAGATATTTTTAGTCTAATATATATAATAATATTTCTATAAAATATATATATAATACTATATATTATAAAGATATTAATATCTTTATTAATTAAATTTAAGATATTACTCTTTATAAAAATAAGAATCTAGTTAAAGTTAATTTTTAAGTATATCTTTATAAAGCTATAATTTAATAGTTTATCTCTTAGCTTAATATTCTTAAAAAGGTTATTATCTATATTATATTTTTTAAAAAAAATAAATATTTTATCTATTTAAATATTTTAAGCTAAATTTATAATAAGTATTATAAAAGTTCTATATAATATATTATATTTATACTAATATTTATACTAGTAAAACTACCTAAGTATTTATAAAAGAAGTTATTTACTACTATTATACTACTAAAATTAATAATTAATTTAATTAAATATCTATTATATAGAATTATCTTAATATTAATTTATAATAATATATATCTAAACCTGAAACTAATACTATACTTAATATATTTCTTAAAATTTTTAATTAAAAATAATATTTCTAGTAAAACCTTATTTTTAAATATAATAATTAAAAGGCTAGCTATACTCTTAATTAAAATAGTAATAATAGACTTAAGTAAAATAGATTCTATAGCTTATACTTTTTATAAGAATACTTTATCTATAATAGTAATAGTAAATAGTTAAGTAATTCTAATATTAATTAATAATATAGTTATCTATTATACTAACTTTTTAGATAATAATACTAGCTATATTCTATTAGACTATAATACTAATATCTTATATATCTACTATACTTCTAATTATAATATTAATAAACCTATCTATATTAGATATAAGACTATACCTGTCTAGCCTACTAAACTAATAATAATAGATTTTTATATAATAAGCTCTTTATAAATAATATTAATTAAATTTTTAATAGTAATTCTAATATCTATATTAATTCTAACTTTAATAGTAATTTTTAAAATTTATATTAATTCTAGAATTAAATAAATATTTATATTATTAAGTAGCCTGCTGTTAATTCTAAGTATAATATTTAAAATTAATCTATTATCTAGAATATTAAATCTATATATACTTTTCCTGAATCTAATATTTATTTTATATATTATACTAAATCTTCTATTTAATAGGATAATAAATATCCTATCTATTATAGAGAATCTTAAGTTAATACTACTAAAATTATCTATTTAGATAATAAAGAAGATAAGACTTCTACTAACTATACTAATATATATTATATTAATAATAAATCTACTATTATATAAGGTTTAACTATAGTAAAAAATATTTTTAGATTTATTATAGTTAAAAATAATTATATCTTTAATTATAATAAAAAACTAGATTTTATTATCTATTTTTACTATACTAAAATCTTTAAATTAAATAATAAACTATATAAATATTTATCTTATTTATATACTAAGTAAGCTAAGTCTATATCTATTTATTATATTATTTCTATAATATCTCTATCTAGTATTATTATTATTAAATCTAATATTAAAGATCTTTTTAATATTTATATTTTATAAATCTAGAGATCTATTACTATTTTAACAGGTCTAAATATTACTAAAATCTTTAAAAAAATATATTTTAATACTAGCTATTTCTAGTTAATTAGTAATACTAACTTCCTATAAAATATTCTAAATATTAAGATTATAAAAGCTAATAAAGCTATTACTATTAATAGTATTAGATTAAATTATATATTTAATATATATATAAAGTTTTATTTATATTTTTCTTTCTCTCTAGATACTAATACTATATCTATCTTTAGATATATTACTATCTTAGTTTATCTAGTTAATATTACTGTTAAACTTTTTATTAATACTAAAACTATAGATTAAAAAAATATAGTTATTAATATTAATTACTAATTTATTATTATTTATTTATACTAGAGTATAACTATTCCTATATATTATAAGACTAATAATTATATAAAGCTAATTAAGATCTATTTAACTAAAAAAATTAAAATATTTTTTTATATAAAGATTAAAGTTTTTATATTTATAAAATCTATTATCCTGTCTAATAGAGACCTAATTTTTAAATTAAAAAAGTTAATAAAATTAGATCTCTATATCTATACTTATCTAGTTAATAATAATATATTTTTTATTAAAGCTTCTAACTTAATTTTTAAGATTATTATTCTATTTAATTATTATTATCTAGATACTATTAATAATCCTAAGTTTATATTATATTTTTAATCAGGCTTAAAGTTATAGAATTAATTTTTATATATCTAGTTATCTTTAAGTAATATTTAACTATAATAAAAAAACCTGATTTTAATATTATCTATACTACTTTAAAAACTAGTAATAATTATCTATACTATTAATATATTAAATAATTATTTATTAATATTTATTATATCTCTATTAAATATTAACTATTTATTAAAACCTATTAGAATATTACTAAACTACTTAATAAAAATAATATATTATTAAAATATATCTATACCCTGTTTAATAAAGTTATTATCTATATTAAATATTTTAAAGCTATCTTTTATTTTACTAAGTTTATATTCTATTATAATATCTAGAGTATTAATATAAATATTAATTCTATTATTTATATTCCTAAATTTTAATAGATAGAAGTACTATTAAAAGAAGACTAGGAATATTATATATTTAAATCTAAAATCTACTAAATATCTCTAAAAGATTAAGCTATAATTCATAAAATTCTAGACTCTTTATATAAAGCTAGTAAGCTTGAACTTATTACTATTTATATATTTTTTAGTTACTTTATATTTATTATCTAGTATACTATATTTAATTACTAAATTTAAAAGAGTAAAGAGAAAGGTTATATTATTATTAATTTATATAATATAAATAAAGAAGCTAAGCCTGATTAATACTTAATACTAGTTTAATAAGAAATTATAAAGCTAGTTTATAGCTATTAATATATTATTATTATTAATACTTATAAATTCTTCTACTAATAGCTATTTTATTAAGATTACTAAAGATAAATTATAATTATTAATTACTATAATTAAGAAATCTTTAATATTATTATTATAGATTTAATTAACTTTATACTTTATATCTAATACTAGATAGATTTAAATTTAGTAGAATTTAAAGTTTTTTATTAAACTTATATTAATAATATAATTATTATCTCTAGTAAATTTAATAAATATCTCTATTATCTAAGTCTTATATTCTAATATCTATAAGATCTAAATATTAAGATTAAATTTATAAAAGTATTTATTAGATTTCTATCTATTTAATTATTTAAATAATAAGTTAATATTTTTAGCTTTATTATATCTATTAAAAAGCTTAAAACTATTTTATTATTAAAGTTCTCTAGTATTCTATAAAATTTTAAATATTATTTTAGATTAACTAGCTGGTTTTATTATTAAATTAAATATTATATTATATAGAGTAAATCTTTATAATTATATAAAATTAAGCTTTTAAAAAATAGTCTATTAAAAAGCTATATCTATTAAGAATATATAAAGTATATTATTATTACTAAACTTATTACTATTAAATTATTATTATTCTTTAATTTATAAAATAAGCTCTGAAATCTCTAGTTTCTTATATACTTTAATCCTAAAAAGTAATTTTATATTAATATTAATACTTCTTATATTATATATAGAGTTATAGTTTATTATATTAAAAATAAATATACTAATTATTCTATTTTTTTATATAAATAAAGATTCTATCTATTCTATTCCTAAGCTATTTACTTACTAGTATTAAATATAATTATTAGCTAATTAAATTTAAAGTTTTTTACTTTATATAAACTATTTATAAAGTTTATTATTATATTAAATTATTAAAATATTCTACTATTATCTATATTAATTATTTATTAACTATTAGTATTTTAAAGTAATTATTATTTTAATCTATTATTATTAAGAATCTTAATTATTAATTAGTTTATACTAGTTAATATTTATAATAATTTAAGCTTATTATTTATTATAAATCTGGAAGGGCTAATATTATTTCTAATACTTTATTATAATTACTCTTAAAATATTTTACTATAGTAAAATATAATATTTAGATATAATTCTTAGACCTTAATAGTTTATATATTTAAATATATTATATTTCTATAATTATTAAAATTACTGATAAGTTTAAAAAGTACTTAAAGAATAAATATTTAAATAATTATTATATTTTATTAATCTTTAATATTTTAAAGAATAGTATTAATACTAAACTTCTCTATATAATTAAAGATAATCTCTTATATATAAAATATTAAGATATTATTAATAATCTTAAAAATAATATTATTATTATTAATAAATTCTAGATCTATATTTTCTATTCTATAGCTTATAAAATTTTTAAAAAGATTTATAATTAATATAATTACTAAGACTTTAAGAAATATATATAGAATATAAAAGATCTTACTATCTATAAAGATTAAAAGCTTTTAAAAGAGTATATTTTATATTATTTATTTTATAATACTAATATTAAATAAAAATATAAGCTCTATAATAATCTCTAATTAATTAATATTATTCCTATATTATTTAATATAATTACTATAGATTTTATAATTATTTTATCTCTAAATATTTATAATACTAATAATATTTTTTATATTATATATAAAAATAAAACTGGATTTAATACTCTATTTATTATTATTAATAAATTTATAAAGTATATTAACCTGTTTTCTAGTTAAACTATCTTTAATATTAAATAATAGAGTATACTAACTATATAATACTTATAATTTTATAATTAGGGAATATCTTACTATATTATTTTTAATTAAGATTAAATTTTTATTTCTAAATTCTAGAAAGCTATATATAAGACTACTAGTATAATCTAGTATTATATAGTAATATATTACTCTTAAATAGATAGTTAATCTAAATAAATTATTTAAATTATTAAAATAATATTTTATTATAGCTATATATTTAGTTACTATATATAGCTAAGTTTTTTATCTAGTATAATCTTAATAATTAATAGTTTTTATAATACTATTATTAATAAGATATTTTATTATCTACTATTTAGTCTTAATCTATATATTTCTTAGTATATACTTTATTATTTTTTTAAGTAAGATTTTAGCTTCTATTTTAATACTAAAGAGATATATAAGTTTATTTATATCTAAATAAAATAAGTCTATAATTATTACTATATATCTATCTTATTTAAATCTAAAAGTTAAGTATATCTTTATTTATATAAAGAATATAATTTATTTATTATTATTAGTATTATCTTAAAATTAGAATTTTATTATACTAGACTCTTTACTATTACCTGTTATATTAGATATTTTATATATAAGCTATCTAATTTATCTAACTCTTAAAAAATATATTTAGTTATTTTAATTACTTAACTTAAACCTGTATCTATAAATCCTAATCTATATAGATATAAGAATATAAAATTTTTTATTATTCTTAATACTTATTTTCCTAAAGACCTTAACTATTATAAAGTTAAATATATATTTAATTACTAAATTTATCTATATAGTTAAAAGTATACTCTTTTTATTAAATACTATATTTAATAGTTGGGCTATAGCCCTGAGTATAATTAATAAATTTAAAAGAAGAATTTTACTAATATTAAAAAAATTATTACTTAATTTAAATTATTTTATAATCCTAATTATAATATTTAATATTTTATTTATTTATTTATCAAGCTTAGCTCCAAGTCTTTACTATTCTATTTCTATTATTTAGTTACTATATATATTTAACTATAATAAAGAAGCTTGTTGAGTAATCTCCAAGCCTATTCTATTATATTTAATTCTATTATTAAATTCTATTTATAGTTAATAAGGCTGTTATATTCTTGAAAATCCCTATATCTATAATAATGCCTGTCTTTTATTGCCTTTTATTATCTTATTATTATAGTATATCTATTGTCGCCTTACTTTGCTTGACTTAAGCTAGTACTAATTCGGCTTAGCTAACAGTTAGTTAGTTATTCCGGACCTGCTATTTCTGCCTGGCCGTCCACTTCAATTAATGGATCATCTTTCCCAACAACTTCAACTTCTACAAAGATTTATAAGTAAGAATAAATAAGAATATTATATAGAAGAAATCTTAGATTTAAAGATCTAAAATTCTATAAAAATACTAATTAAGTAGATTAGTTAATAAGAATCTACTAAAAAATCTACTATAAATCTATAATACTTAAATTTTTATAAAAATTATTTTATAAAGAGAGAAATAACTAATTTAATTCTAGTTAATATAGATAGAAAGTTATAAGACTAGCTATAAAAAAATATTTTTATAATATATATTTATTTTTTTATCTTATTTCTAAGCTATATAGATATTTATAGAAAATTTATTAGATTTTAAATATAATTTAATTAAAAATAAAAAAGAGATTATCTTAAAATTTTATCTTTTAAGAAAATATTAAATATATTTATAAAAAAAATAGTTATCATATCTCTCTCTAATTCTATCTAAAATATAAGCTATAAATAGAAGTAATACTAAGAAATTATAATAAATACTATACTCTAAACTAGTAGAAGATTATTAATTTATATAAATTATTAAAATAGTTTTTATAGCTAGATTTTTATAACTAATTACTCTAACTAGTTAAATCTATAAAAGAAAATAGATTAGATAATTAATATAAGAATTTACTATTATTTATAGATTAATAGGATCTAATTATTTATCTAGAAAAAGAGTCTAGGGACTATAATAAAATATTATTAATTATATAAAGTAAATTATATCTCTATAAATAGATTAATAGACTAGATAGTAGTCTAGTCTTATTTTATTAAAGTAACTAGAGACTACTAGTTTTATATTTTTTTAAAAATATTTATAATAGTAGGAGAGAGTCCTGAATAAATAAAACTATAAAAAAAAGATATAGCTAAAATATTAGTTATTATAACTATAAAAGAACCCCGGGTAGTAGTATAAAAGAGAATAAAAATAAAAAAAGATTATATAGAGACCAGGAAAATAGAAATAAATATAGATATAGATATAAATATAAAAATAAAGATTAAAAATTTTTTCTTCTTTATAAAAAAGGCCTGGTACTATTAACTATATCTTATAAAATATCTAATATAGATTTATATAACTTTTTTTATAGAAGGCTATTCCTTTTCTAGATTAGAGAAAAAAGAGAAGAAATAATTATTATTTATAAGAGTAGTAGTAATAATAGTAAGATTAAAGAAAATAGATATTATAACTAAGTATTCTACAAAGAAAATAATATTAAAATTAATAATTAAATATATAAAAAAGAATCAGAACTAATTCTTATAAGATAGATAAAGAATTTATAACAATAAATTAATATATAAAATCTATAAAGTAAGTAGCTAGATAAATCTTATAGAAAGTTAATAAATATTAAAAATCTATAAAAAAGAAACTATACTAAATAAAAAAGTTTAAATTCTTAAAGAAAAAAAGTTTCTAAAGAAGAAAAAAGATTTTTATATAAACTTTAATACTATAATATTATTAACTATAATAATAGAATTCTATAGAATTTATATAGTAGATAAAATCTATAATTTATAATAATATAAGATAATCTAGATAGATATAAAAAAGTTATTAAGAAATAATAAATTAAATATTTATAAAAAACTACTTATAGAAATATTATAAGATAATTAAGAAAATAGCTTATAAAAGATTTTAATATTATATAATAAAAAAAGAGATCTTATAGCTAGAGTATAAGATTATTATAAATAGATAATATTATATAATAGAGAAAAATATTATAAGAAATCTTATATATTTAAAACTTAGAGTATCTACTATTTAAAAGTATATTTTATAGATAATAAAGATAATAGAATATCTTTTTTTTATTATAAGAATTTTATCCTATTTTAGATTTTATATTACAGGGAGGTTTTTTAAAAAAGAACTATATATGAAAATTAGTTAACTATTATAAAGGCCTTAAGAGACTAAAATTATAAAAAAAAGATAATTATAAGATCTTTATAAAAATATTAAATATTTATAAGTTTTATTTTATAAAGAATATATACTTAAAACTTTAGTATTAATCTATGAACTATTTTTTATTCTTAAAATCTAGCTATTATAATATTATATTCTCTATTATTAGATATATTACACTCTTTTACACTATTTATAATAACCCTAAAGGCCAAGGACCTTATACTATTAATCTATAAATTAATAAAGTAAAATATAAAGATTATATTATAATTAATTTATATAAAGTAAATAAAAAGTTTAAATCTAACTATTATCTTATATCTATATAATATAATATTATTAATTTTATATATAGCTATTATTTTATCTTAGTTATTAATACTACTAAATTCTTTTATTAATAATCTATTAAGTATGTTTATTAAAAATATCTAATATAAATTACGGGTCAGCCAGTTATTATAGGTCAACTGCCTACCCTATTAAATTCAGCTATGTCTAAGAAACTTAAAGCTATTTTTAATAATTAAATAATATATATTTTATTTAAAATTAATTATCTAGATATATAGAATATATAGTTTTTTTATAATTTCAAATTCTATAATTTATATACTTTAATAGTACTTATCTTAGTATAATTAAAAATAAAAATATAGAATTTATAATAAAACTAATATTAATATTTAATTATTTATTTTTTTATTTAATTAGATCTCTAGTTTCTTATATTAATAAATCTTTATTAAAAGTTATTTAGTATATAGATTAACTCTTTTTTTATTAATTTATAATTAATTTATAGTATAGAGATTATAATTATTTTTTACTAATTAAATTATATTATAAATTATAATTTTATAGTCTTTTATTATTTACTATAATATTTTTTTAAAAATAATAATAAACTTTTACAATCTCTTTTTAAAAGTTTCTTGATTAAAGATATTTATTATTATAATTATTAAACTATATAAAATATTACTAGTATTAAAAAGCTAGTAAATAAACTATTATAATTTAAAAAAATATAAGTATTTCTAGTATAATATTTAACTTTTAAAATACTTTATTAAAATTAAATAGAATTATTCTAGTAATAATAAAGCTATTTTAAATATTTTAAAATATAAAGATCTTTATATAAGCTTTTCAATATTTCTTTAAAAAGTTAAACTTATTAATATAATAAATTTTAAAATAGGTTTTTAAACTAGTAAAATCTCTCTATATATATATATATTAAAAAATTGAAATAATTAATATTAAAAGATTATAGAAAATAAGAAAAGTATAAAAATATATAAATAAAAACAATATTATTATTATTATATATTTTATTAAATTAAGATATAAGATAACTATTATAGTTATTTAAGATAAATAATTAATATTAGCTAATAATATAATTTATTATTATAAAAATAAAAATACTTTAAAATTACTAGAAATTAATCTTATTATTTATCTAATTATTTTAATTTATTTTATTTTTTAATTATCTAGTAAGCTATTATTTTTATATTATTTTTATATAAAGACTTTTTTAAAGATAATAGTAGTTAGAATAACCTAATTATTTATATTAATATATTTAATTATTATAATCTATTTCTAATTATCTAATTAAATAAGATATAATATACTAGATATTTTAACTCTAGAAATAATTTTAAAAGTTGTTATTAAATCTATAATAAAGCTAATTTTATTAAAATTATAAATATCTTCTTATTAAATATTATATTTATCTTAAAATTACTATAGTCATTTAAATTAAACTTTAATAACTTTAAAGTTTTTATATTAAGCTTAAAAATAGTTATATTTATATATAAAAGTACTTTTAACTTTATTTTATTATTTAATAAAGCTAGTAATTTAATTAATATTAATAAATTTTAAAGTAGTAGTTATACTAGATTAAAGAATAAGACTAGCTATTTTATATATATATATATATATCTAGAAGTAACTCTATATATATCTCTTAATATTATTTAATACATTAATGTATTTTCCTGAGTTTTAGAGAGCTAGAGATTATAATTATATTATTTTAATTAAAATTAATATTTTTTAAATTAATCTTAGAGAGGTTTATAAAATATATTAAAAATAATTATAATTTAATAAATTAAAGTAATTTCTTTTTTTTAAAATAGATAAAGTAAATATAAGTCTTCTTTCTTACTTAACTAATTTTTAATAAGATTTCTTTTATTTAGATAATATAGTAATTATTTAAATAACCGTATATTAAACAATACGTTAACTTTGGGTAGGATAGGTGGTTGACCTGTAGTGACCAGCTGACCTGTGATTTACATTAATAATTATATTTTATTATGAATAGAAAGTATTCTACATTATTATTGTAGAATATATTTATTTAATATCTTATATTCAATATTAAATAAATCTTTTATTATATCAATTTACTATATTTACTAAAGCTTATATTAATATTATTATTATTATTTTAAAAACTCTAGAAGAGTATTTTAAATATCTAGTACTAGTATTTAGCTAATTATAATATATAAATATTAAACTAGAGTTTATAAAAATATTTATTAATTTTTTTCTATATAATTTCTAGATTAATATATTAATACTCTAAAATTAATAATTTTTATAAAAAAAACTTAAAATTATATTAGTATTAAAGTTTTTATATACTCTAAAAAATCTTAAATATTATATAAACTTTATAAGTTAGTTTTAGTACTATATTAAATAATTTATAAGTTTAATTTAAAAAATTATAATTTTTATATTATTTTAATCAATCTATTATATTTTATATTGATCTAGATACTTCTAGTAGAGATTATAGAGTTATAGTATATTATATTAATAATATTAATAATTATATATAATAATATTTTAGTACTATCTTCTAGAATATATATATATTCTATTCTATTTTTAAGTAGAGTACTTATTTAAAAAAATAGTTATACTAGTCTATTAAATTAAAAATATTTTATATAGTTTAGATACTATAAAAGATATAGTATATAATTAAATCTACTAGAAAAGTTATTATTTATATTAATTATACTTCTATTATTAGTATTTTTAAAATAATTATTTATATAAATTATTATTTTAAAGAATCTAAATCTATATCTAGTATATACTAATTAATTTATTTAATAATTTTAGTTAATAGTATTATATAAATCTAATTATATTAATATTATACTATATATTTTATCTTAATTATTATATATTAGTTAAATTATTAGTATATTTATATTAAACCTGAATAGCTTAAAGACTAGTACTTAATTTAAAAATAAATAAAGTTCTAATATTAATATTAAATTTATTAATTTTAAGTCTAGAGAATCTTTTAGTAATTTAATTAACTAAAATATTAAATTAATTAATTTATATTTATTAATCTATTATTCTCTAGTATTTAATTACTTAAAAATTTTAAGTTATATTTATAAAAAGACTACTTATCTAATACTTAAGCTATTATTATAATTAAAATATTATAAAATAATAATAATACTGGTTTTTTATTTTATATTTTTAAAGATAATTTATTTTATCTATAAAAATATAGAACTTTAAATAATACTAAAAAATATTTTTTTATTTAAAAATCTTAGCTTTATATACTCTATACTATCTATAACTATTAAAATATTTACTATAATTTATAATAAATATAGTTATTAAAATATTAATAATTATATATATATATATCTCATATAGAATAATACTTACTATTATTTACTATATAATTTATTATAATTTATATTATTTATCTTTATATTAGTTAATTTAATATTTATAGATTTTATTATATATTTATTATATAATAGCTTTACTATGAATAAATATATTTTAAAGATTACTAATATATAAAGATTTAATATAATACTAGTTCTTATTAATAAATTTATTAAGTATATTAACTTAATTTCTAGATATTTTATATAAACTATTTTTATCTAGAATATTACTTTTATAAATTATTTCTATTTTTATAACTAAAAACTATTGAAAGATTTTATTTCTAACTAAAATATTTATTTTATATTAAGCTTCTAGAATGATTTATTTAATAAAATTTTTAGTATTAACTAGTACTACTTTAATATATATTATTTTCAATTAAATAAATAAATTAAATAAATAATTTAATAAATTAAAATTATATTTTATTATATTCATATATAAGAGCTATTTTAGTTAAGCTAAATATCTATTATTATTATAATTATTAATAAAATATAATTTTAATTTACTAAAACAAGCCTTTATAAATTTTTATTTAATATAAAGTTATATATTTTATATAATATTTTAAAAAATATATATATTTGAGTAAGATTTTAATATTAGATTAAATATAGAAAAAGTAATAAAATTTATTATAATATATATAAAAGTTTTATATAATTAAAAATATTTACTAGTTATATCTAGCTCTTGTAATTTTATTTATTTATATTTATACTATAGATATAAGTTATCTATTTTTTAATATTTTTTATCTAAATTTAATAAGTAATATACTAGTTCTTTTACTATCACTAAATTGTGAGGCTGTAATACTAATATAGCGGTTCTCTAGGGATTATAGAGATATAATATATAATTAGTAAAGAATAGATTTATATTTAAATAAATTAATTACTAGCCCTCTTAGCTAAGAACTAGTAATATAATATATATCTATATATTATATAGTAACTACTTGGCTGCTATAATATATCTTAAATATACTTATATAGTATTTATAAATAATAATATATAATAGTTATTTCTCTCTCTTAAGTAATTATAATCTTATAATTAGTTATTTCTAACAGGCTCTATAGTTAAAATATAGAATAAAAAGAAAGGAATCTAATAGTACTAAACTTAGCTTTATAAACTTAAAATTAAACTTATAATAAGTATCTAAAATTAGTATATTATTATTTTATTAATATAGATAGTTTTAGTAATATAAATAAATATTATATAGCTAGTATTTATTATAAATAAATTTATATATAATTTAGTAATATTATAATATTAAAATATTTTTTATTTTTTATTTATTTTTTCTTCTTTTCTTTTCTCTCTAGATATTCTATTTTTTATTACTATAAATATTTCTTTATATTTATATAACTTATTAATTAATTTCTTTTATTTTTATAATTATTTTAATTTTATAAATCTTATTAATATTTTTTTAGATTAAATTAAGCCTTCTAGTATTATATTATAGATTAATATAATAATATATTAATTTAATAATAGAAATTTTATATTACTATTTCTTAATTATATCTTAAATAATTATATTAGTATTTAGTATTTAGATTCTTTTAATTTTTATAATTTAAATAAACTTTTTATTAGTTATTTTACTTAAGAACTTATAAAAATATTATTACTAAAAGTTTTATCTATATATAGTATATCTATACTCTATTTTTTTAATTACTTAGTTTTTTATAGGGTTTTATTTAATTAGTTTAAACTTAAAATATATTATTTTATATATTTTTTTATATTAATTTCTATTTTTAGTAGTTATTTTATTTTATAGATTATATTAATATTATTATTAGGATTCTTAGTATTTTATTATTATTCTATAATATTTTACTTTCTTATTTCTAGTTTTTAATTAGTCTAGCTTTATAATTATTTTTATATTTAGAATCTTACTAATATAATATTTTTAGATATTACTATATAAGAAATCTACTATTACCTATACTATTAATATATATTATATATATAAGATATATTTTATTTATTTTACTATAAATATTTTCCTGGAAATAAGTCTTTTTCTAGTTTTTTTATCTATATTTATATTTATATTTTTATTTTTATTCTTATTATTTTTTTATATTTTTTTTTTTATATTCTTAGCTCTCTCTTTTATATTATTAATCTTTTATTCTATATCTCCTACCCTGGCTGTTATATACTATATATATATCTCTTATAGTAAGCTTTATTTATTTATAATATTAGATAGCTCTTTAGAGTAGTATAATATTTATTATTATAGTAAATATAGTATCTAGTTCTATAGTAAAATAGATATTTTAATTTTTTTATATTAAATCTAGATTATTTTACTAATTCTCTTTTTTAAAACTATAGAATAATTATTATTAAGATATATTTATTACTAGTAAGATATTTCTTTAGACTAGTATTATTAGAAATAACTATAATTTACTAGAGATTATTATTTATTATTATATATTTTATTCTTATAAAAGAAATAAAGATATAATTCTCTTTATTACTAGCTAGAATAAAAACTCTTTTCTAGACTATTTATAAATATTTTTATTTATATTTATTATATTTTTATTTAATATCCTGTAATTTTATACTTAGTATTCTAGTACTATATATTTTAGTTATAGTATTATAGATTATTTATTTCTAAAAATCCTCAGGAGAGGTTCTCTCTAGAGATTTCTATTTTTAAAAAGTCTCTAGAAAGAGTCTTCTATAAAGATTTATATTTTTAAAAAGTTTCTAGGAGAGGCTCCCTGCAGGAATAATAAATAGTTTTTTATTTTCTATATTTTTTTTTTTAAATTAATAATTCTCTTTCTATAATTTAGGATTTTATATAATTTATAGATATTATAAGTCTTTCTTTTTTATACTTTTATAGTAGATATTATTATTCTTTATAGATATCTAGTATAATAGTATCTTTAATATAATTAAATAGTTCTTATATATTATAGCTAGAGTTTTATCTATATTATTAAACTAGGAATTAAAGTTATTCTTTATATTAATAATCTATAATTATATTTTTAATTTTATATTCTTCTTCTTTATTAATAAATAATAATTTTAGTTTTAAAGTTATATAGAAATCTCTAGTATATTTATAAAATAAAAAAATATAGAATATATTATAGAGTTAGTATATTTTAAAATATAGATATAATTTATAAGATTAATATTATATATATATAATTTTAAAAGATTCTAGATACTAGTTACTTAATTTATAGTTTAATCTAGTTTAGTTAATATTTCTTATATTTAATATAATAAAGTTATTAACTATAAACTTTATATTTTTAAATTTCTTATTATATTATTTTTCTATAGTTTTAATTATATTCTCTAGCTATTTAGCTAGTTTTTTATATTTTTTTTAATATATTCTAGTATATTTTATATAATACTTTTTCTGGATTTTTAATATTAAGTTAAAATTATAGCTAATATTTTATTATTATTTTATTATATATAAATTATATAATTAATAGTTATTATAACTAGTTATCTTAATTCTAGTTTATATAAATACATAAATAATATTTTATTTATTTAATTTTAATATTTAATTTATCTATTTTTCTATAGATATTATATTACTAGTAGTTAACTTATAATTTAAGATAATAGTGGATAGAGTATTAATTAAAATATATTTATAAAAATATTATTTTTATTATTAATTATATTACTTAGAACTCTAATATATATAGATATATATAATAAGAATTATAGTAATTTTTTTATAAAGATACTCTTTATATATAAAATATAAAGTATATATTTTCTTTTAGTATTTTATAGAGAATAGTCTAGTTATAAAATTTATTATTATTTAATCTATAAAGTCTTTTAGTTATAAGAGTTTATTTAGTAAACTATAAGATTTATATTAATATACTATAATCTATTAATATATGTTATATTCTTTAATATAGTTTTTAATTTCTTTACTTATTATTAACTAGTAGTATTCATACTTAATAATTTTTATTATTTTTTTCTATCTAGATATCTATCTTATAAGTTATTATAGTTAATGTAAATTACGGGTCAGCTGGTCATCATAGGTTAACAGGTTACCTTACTGAATTCAGCTATGCCCAAGAAACTTAAAGCTATTTTTAATAACTAAATAATATATTTTTTATTTAAAACTAATTATCTAGATATATAGGAGATATAGTTCTTTTATAATTTTAAATTTTATAATTTATATACTTCAGTAATACTTATCTTAGTGTAATTAAAGATAAAGATATAAAATCTATAATAAAGTCTATCTTAATATTTAATTATTTATTTCTCTATTTAATTAAGTCTCTAGTTTTATATATTAATAAATTTTTATTAAAAATTATTTAATATCTAGATTAACTTTTGTTCTTTATTAATTTATAATTTATAATATAGAGATTATAGTTATTTTTTACTAGTTAAACTATATTATAAATTATAATTTTTAAAAGTAATAATAGATTTTCAAAAAAATTTAAAAAAATTTTAATTAAAGATATCTATTATTATAATTATTAAATTATATAAGATATTATTAATATTAAAAAACTAGTAAATAAATTATTATAATTTGAAAAAATATAGATATTTCTAGTATAATATTTAGCTTTTAAAATATTTCATTAAAGTTAAATAAAATTATCCTAGTAGTAGTAAAATTATTTTAAATATTTTAAGATATAAAGACTTTTATATAAATTTTTAGATATTTTTTTAAAAAATTAAATTTATTAATATAGTAGATTTTAAAATAGGTTTTTAAACTAGTAAAATCTATATATATATATTTTAAAAAACTAAAATAATTAATATCTAGCGACTATAAAAAATAAAACAAATATAAAAATATATAAATAAGAATAATATTATTATTACTATATATTTTATTAAATTAAAGTATAAGATAACTACTATATTTATTTAAAATAAGTAATTAATATTAATTAATTATATAGCTTATTATTTTAAAAATAAAGATATTTTAAAACTATTAAAAACTAATTTTATTATTTATCTAGCTATTTTAATTTATTTTAATTTTTTAATTATCTAGTAAGTAGCTATTTTTATATTATTTTTATATAAAGATCTTTTCTTTAAATATAATAATAATTAGAATAGCCTAATTATTTATATTAATATATTTAATTATTATAATCTATTTCTAATTATCTAGTTAAATAAGATATAATATACTAGATATCTTAACTCTAGAAATAACTATAAAAATTATTATTAAATCTATAGTAAAGCTAGTTTTATTAAAATTAAAAATATTTTTTAATTAGATATTATATTTAACTTATAATTACTATAGTTATTTAAACTAAGTCTTAATAAATTTAAAATTCTTATATTAAGTTTAAGAATAGTTATATTTATATATAAATATACTTTTAATCTTATCTTACTATTTAATAAAATTAGTAACTTAATTAATACTAATAAACTTTAGAATAGTAGTTATATTAGATTAAAGAATAAGATTAGCTATTTATATATATATATATATATATCTAGAAGTAACTTTATATATATCTCTTAATATTATTTAATATTTTAGAATATTTTCCTAAGTTTTAGAGAGCTTAAGATTATAATTATATTATTTTAATTAAAATTAGTATTCTTTTAACTACTTTTAAAAAATTTTATAGAATATATTAAAAATAGCTATAGCTTAATAAATTAAATCTTCTCTTCTTACTTTACTAATTTTTAATAAGATTTATTTTATTTTAGTAATATAGTAGTTATTTAAAGAATTATATGTTAAATAATATATTAACTTTAGGTGGGTAATCTATTAACCTGTAATAACTAGCTAACCCGTGATTTATATTAATTTTAAAGATTTTTATAGAAAGTATATTAAAATAATATATATATAATACTATTTAGTTACTTCTATAATTTTTTTAAAAATATATTTTATTTATATATCTACTTTCTTTTTTTAGATTTATAGTTTATATATTTCTCGAGTTATTTATAGGGTTTTTGATCTATAATATAATAAATCTAGGAATAAAATATTATTAATTTTTTAATTTAATATATCTAATATAAAAATAGCTTTTAATTATTATAAATTGGTACAAATTATTATAATTATAGTAAAATTTAATAATATATAAACTATTTTTAAAATAATAGTATTATTTATAAAAGCTATTTACTATTATAAATAATTTCTAGTTATATATTTTATAATATATCTATATACTATTTAGTTTTTTTTAAATAAAAGATTATTAAATATTAGTTTTTATTCTTAAGCTTCTAGTTTAAGATACTTAAAACTATATATTTTAATATATTTATATAGATTTTAATAGATAATTTTAAGTTATAATATTATAATAATAACTGTAAGAATATTTTAAGTTTTTTTTAATAAGTATAATTTTATATCTTTTTTTTATTATTTTATTTAATAGAGTTATAATCTTACCAAATATATAAATAAACTAGTAATAATGATTAATAAATTTAAAAAATTTAATAAATAACTAGATTTTTTTTTTATATTTTATAATACTAGCTAGTTAATTATTATTATAATTTATTTAATTTTTATTTCTATATTATTTCTAGTTATTATAAATTCTAGAAAATTAATATAATTTATATAAAAAATATATTTATTTATTCTTATATATAACTTAAATCTTTATACCTAATATCTTTATTGTATAAAATTTTATTAAATTTTATATTATTTTTTTATAAATATTCTTTATTATTTACTAGTTAATACTTTAATTTAATATAATTAATCTTTCTATAATTATAATAATCTAGATTATTTTTATATATTTTTTTATTTTTTTATTTCTTTTTAAATATTAAGATAGTACTTATAACTTTTATTATAAATTTATAATTTTTTATAATTATTTTTATTATTATAATCTTTTTTTTGAGAAGTCTTATATACTATTTATTAATATATATTTTATAAATTAAAGTTCTTCTAAAACTCTTTTAATTATTTAATTATTAAAATATATTTTTTATATATATTATAATTCTCTAGTTTTTATAAATATTATACTATTTTTTTATAAATCTTATTATATATTTTAGAGTATAAGATAGCTTTTTAAATTTTATTATTTAATAATTTAGTTAAATATTATTTAAATTTTTTAAAATATTATATAAATTTATATATTAACTAGTATATTTATTATTTTATATTATAGTAATATATTATTACTTTTTATTATAATATTATTAAATTCTTAATTATATATAATAAGATACTATTAAAGTTAGTTTATATAAAATTTTATAATAAAGTTATATATATTTCTTCTTAATTATAGAATCTAGATATTATTAAAAATAATAATATATAATTTATTTTTGTTTATTTATTTAATAATTTTTTATATAGAAATACTAGTCTAGATATTTATATAAATTATAATTTATAATTTTTTTATATAAAAATAGTCTTTTGAAAATCCTATTTTTAATTTTTAGAATTATTTAATCTTAAAGATTAATTATTTTATAATATTCTTAAAGAAAGTTATATTATAAATTAAATATTTTAAAATAGTATTTCTATATTTATATATATAATTTTAATATATATATTTAGTTTTATTTCTAAAGTTTTTTATTTCTTTTATAGTAATATTGATTTAATATATTATATACTTATTTTTTCTTTTTAAAGAAATTTTTTAATATTTTTACTAATTTATAGATTTTTTTTATTTTATATTAAATTTTAAAATTAGAATAAATTCCCTTTTATTATTTTAAAGATTAAATATAATTTTATAATATTATTTATTTTTTTATTATTTCTTAATTTTAGATTTTTTTTAGATATAGATAGATCTATATTATTATATTATTTTATATAGAAAGAGCTATTTAATTTTATATATTATAATATTAGAGTTATTTCTAAGTCTTAAATTTTATTATAACTATATATATTAGATCTTTAAGAAGAATAGTAATTAAGATTATAAAACTATAATATTAATATAATAGCTCTCTAGGAATTATAAATATATAATATATTAATAAGAAATAAATTTATATTTAATAAGATTAATTATTAGGTTTTTTCGTTAAGAACTAGTAATATGATATATATTTATATATTATATTATAGCTACTTAGCTACTATAGTATATCTCAGGCATGTTTATATAGTATCTATATATATTAGTATATAATAATATCTTATTCTATTATAAGTTATAAGTTACATAATTAATCTTGGCTAGTTATTCTAATTCTGATATATATATATATATAAGTATTTAATTCTAGTACTTTATTTAGCTATTTATAAATAATAAGAATTAAATTATTTAATTTTTTATTAAAAAGTATATAATCTAGAGAAAATAATACCTAAAATTATAAATTATACTAGAATTAATTAAAAGAGAAAAAACTATATAAATAAATTATAATAAATAATACTATATAAAGAACTAGCTACTCTAGAAGTAAAATTATATAAAAATAATAAAATAATATTAGTAGGTGTAAAATTATTAATCTAAAATAATTAATCTAGATTACTAATTAATCTATATTTCTAAATTATTTTTGAGAGTATAATTATAAATAAAATAGGTTAGAAAGTAAAGTCTTTATAAATACATAAACTAGTATTTATATATAAATAATTATCTTAAAATGTTTTTAAATGATATTAAATAATATTAAAAAATACAACGAAGGTAGGTTATGTTTAATTATAAAATAGATTTGAAATTAAAATAAAACTAAAAAAGAAATTAAGGAATCTATTATATAGAAAATCTTTAATAAAATATTATTATATATAATAGATAACTTGGGATTTTCTAATAATAATTGATAATATTATATTATATTGGAAAATAATTATATAACCAGTTAGTGTGTAGATTTTTATAATATTTAAAAATTTTAAAGAATACATAACACTATTTCTAAGTAATTAAGTAAAAAAGTTATTATATATAGATCTATAACATAAATTAAAAATAAATAATATCATATTAAATAATTATTATAATTTTTATTAAGATATAGCTAGCCTATAACTGCCAGTGCTGTGGGTCAGCTACATGGCAATTGACAAATATATATATTAAAATCCTAGGTACAACATCAATAATAAAAATAGTATGTTTAATAAGTACAGTATTACACATTTTTCTGATATCTTATGGATTGTAATCTAATAATAAATTTTATTATAATTTAACCTATAAGGTTTTTTAGCTATAAAAACCTATTTCACATCACACCGTGACACCACGATATATACTAATTTTCTAACTGCACAATGACTGCACATGGGTCTGTATCAATACCCGTATCTGACCAAATATTAACATGTCCTTTACCTAGGTCTTTATGGCTACCGATAACATTTTCATATACCGTGGCAACCCGCATGGCCTGCAGGCGGCTTCCACATTCGAGAATAGTCAGCCGAACCTGTAATGTGCACAACAGAGCTGAAATATGATGGTAGAAGAAATCCTCCGGACGGAAATTTCCAGAGTCCATCATAAATGGCGCAATATTTTCCGGTGGCACCAGTGCAAGTTTCGGCTCGAAAATCCGGACACTGCGTGACGTGGTTCCACCGTGATACTCCTCCGGCGAAACATATGGCGGATTCGAGATAAGAACATCAACCTGGGAATTGGGGACAGCGAAGGGTCTGGATATATTAGTCGCACATCTCATCCATTACCAATGGCCTATAAGTGTCATACTCGAGTATATTTTTGTGTTGAAACCCGATGTCTGTCAATGCACGTTGCGACAGCTTTCCCAGACGGACATTTCGCTCGGCATTTTTTTGTGCCAAGCTAACAGCTGTAGCACTGATATCAATGCCGACAATCGATAACTGTGAAAAGTGGCGAGAGAGGAGAGAATGCAGGAGCAGTGGTATACACCCAGTCCCCGTGCAGAGATCCATGATACGCAGCGACGCCTTTTCTCCTCCCCCCGAGCCGGAGAATTGACCCAATATCAACTCCGCAGCGTGGAGGGTAATAGCTTCTGTTTCATGCCTGACGGCGGGGGGGTTAGGATACATCTGACGGCAACGAGGATCGGATTAATTGGAGTATTGATACCTTGGAATCAACACACCCCTTGTACATTTGATGTCAAGTTCCCCGAAAGGCTGATCCCCCAGTATGTATTGGAGAGGTACACCCCTTGACCGTGCCAGGCACATTGATCTCAAGAGATTTCTCCAGCCATAAACTCTATGGTTCGTCACATTTCGCCGATAATTTGACATTGATCGCACAATACATAGAGCTCGTTCATACAGCCATTGCAATTCGTTTTTTGCCGACGAAAGCGATCGGCACTCCCTCAAGAGGAGCGGAAGAAGAGGATTCAGTGTATATGCTTGGAGTATGGCCACTGTTGCAATCCGGGGCATTTGGTCAGGCGCGCTACCACGGCGAAATCAGGAAATATGTTATTATGCTTTCATTAATAGCAAAGAGTGTATTGGAGTGGCTTGGGCAAATACAAATCCGGGTGGGTGCGTTAGCTGCTGCCTTCATGGCGGTTGCACGTCACCAAATCAGTCACTCAAGCCGAAAGTGCTGAAGTAATCACATTTCAGATAACTTGACCAAGCAACCACTACCACTTTAAGGATTAACTAAATAGGTAATTCCTAATTTCTCATAATATTAAGATAGATAAAAAAATATTCTAATTATAGAGATTCTAATAATTTATATATATTATAGTGATGCCTACCTGTTATAGTATATTTATTATTACCTTGCTTTACTTAACTTGAGCTAGTACTGATCTAGATTAGCTAATAGTTAGTTAGTTATTCTAGACCTGCTATTTATACTTAACTATCTACTTTAATCAATTAATTATTTTTCTAAATAACTTTAATTTCTATAATCTAGTAGTATATTTATTATTTAATAATCCTCTATATAAATATATAATAGAATTTTATATAATTAATAGAATGAGAATTAAATCTCTATTTACATAATTATATCTTTTTATTAATAAGTTATATTTTTATTAATAATTTTATTATAGTTCTTATTTATTAGAGCTTAGAGCTATTATTAATTAAATCTCTATTTTAATATCTAAAATTTATAGATACTTTAGATATTTAGATAGAATTAATTTAGTTAATTAATTAGGATTAATTAAGTTCTATATATCTTTATTTTATATAATAACTCGTATTAATTTAAACCATAGAAGCCAGTTACTAGATAAATTTAAAATTATTAATATTTTTAAATCTAAAATAAAAAATGTTTTTTTACTTTACTTTTACTTTTTATATATAGTTATTACTAAAAAGTAAGAGATAAAGAAGTTAAAATAATAATAAAAAGGTAAAGAATATATTTAAAATATTAGATAATTATATAATTATATTATATAATTAAAGATAGTAAAATAAATAGTAAATAAATAAGATAAATAGTAAATAATAATATTAATATACTAATAGGTATTATAGACTTATAATTATTAGATAAGAAATTTATATTAATACTACTTATAAGGCCTCTACAAAGAATACTGAGTATTCGCAAGCTAAGTCAGCCTAAAGCTGACTCAGCCAGAGAGATACCTCTTTACTTCGTGAAGGGTGTATACTCAGGACTTTAGTATTAATCTATTAACTAGTCTTTATTCTTGAAATCTGGCTATCATGATACTATATTCCTTATTATTAGGTGTATTACACCCTTTCACACTATTTATAAACAACCCCAAGGCCAAGGACCTTATACTACTCTAGTTAACCCTAGTAATTTTATTAGTATAATAGATCTTACTAGAATTATAATTCTTTAAATTTACTAGTATTAAAATTAAAGTTATTTTTAAATAAACTAGCTAATATTTTAGATAGTTACTCTCTATTATTATTATTATCTAATATCTTATCTATATAGATTTAATAAGATCTTTTGAAAAGTTTTTTAGTATTAAATTTCATAAAGCCTATATATAATCTTTTATAAAATATTATAAGAAAGCTAGTTATTCTTAAAACATTATTTTTTAATCTAGTTTTTTTATCTAATTCTATACGATTTTAATTAAATTAAGACCTAGTAAGAAGACAGGCTATAAAATAAAATATATTTAATAGTTATTAAGCTTTAAAAATAGTATTTTAACTTATATAGTCTAGTATATTATTTTATATAAACTAAATTAGGTAATTTTATTAGTAAAATAAGTAAATATAACTATTTATAATAGATATAATTAATTAGAATACTTCTTTAAATTAATATATCTATATTTCTTTTTCTATAAGAGATATAGTTTTCTAGAATAAATATAAAATAATTTCTAGAATATCTAGCTATATCTTTTTAGAGACAAGATCTATAAATAAACTATTATATACTAATATGTATGGATATTATATAAGTATACCTGAGGTATATTATATTAGCTAAGTAGCTACTATATAATATATAAATATTATTATACTACTAGTTTTTAGCTAGAAGAACTAGTAATTAATTTTATTAAATATAAATTTATTTTTTTATTAACTAACTATATATTATATTTTTATAATTCTTAGAGAGTTAGTATATTAATATTATAATTTTATAATTTTAATTACTCTTTCTTTAAAAGCCTGATATATATAATTATAATAAAATTTAAGACTTAGAAATAAATTTTATATTATAGTATATAGAATTAAACAGCCTCTACTATATAAAATAATATAATAATATAGATCTCTACTAGAAAAGTAAAAAATCTAAAACTAAAAACTAATAAAAAATAAAAAATATTATAAATTTATACTTAATTCTAATAATAGAAGAGAATTTATTTTAATTTTAAAATTTAGTATAAAAAAGATTTATAAATTAATAAGAATATTAAAGAACTTTTTAGAAAAGAAAAAATAATTATATAATATATTAAATTAGTATTATTATAAAAGAACTAGAAACTTTAAAAATAAAACTATATATATATATTAAAATTATATATATAAATATAGAAATACTATTTTAAAATATTTAATTTATAATATAATTTTCTCTAAAAATATTATAAAATAGTTAATCTTTAAGATTAAATAATTTTAAAAATTAAAAAATAGAATTATTAAAAAATATCTCTATATAAAAAATTTTATAAAATATAATTTATATAAATATTTAAATTAGTATTTTTATATAAAAAATTATTTTTAAATATTCTTAAAATACTATTATATAAATAAAAGGAAAATAAATTATATATTATTATTTTTAATAATATCTAGACTTTATAATTAGAAAGAAATATATAAATCTTATTATAAATTTTTATAAAAATAATTTTAATAGTATTCTATTATATATAATTAATAATATTAAAATAAAAAGTAATAGTATTTGATTATAATATAAAATAATAGATATACTAGTTAGTATATAAATTTATATAATATTTTAAGAGGTTTAAATAGTACTTAACTAAATTACTAGATAATAAAATATAAAAAGCTATTTTATACTTTAAAATATATAATAAGATTTATAAAAAAATAATATAATATTTATAAAAACTAGAGAATTATAATATATATATAGTATATTTTTTAAATAATTAATTAATTAATTCTAGAATATTAAAATATATAAAAATTAAATTATAATTAAAAAAGCTTTAAAGAAACTCTAATTTATAAATTATATATATCAATAAATAGTATATAACTTTTCTAAAAAAATAATAATAAAAATAATTATAAAAAAAATAAAAATAATTATAAAAAAAATAAAAATTTATAATAAAAATTATAAATATTGTATTAATATCTAAAAAAGATAAAAAAGATAAAAATAATTAAGACTACTATAATTATAAAAAAAATTAATTATATTTAATTATAGTATTAAGTAGTAGATAATAAAATATATTTATAGAAAAATATAAAATTTAATAAAATTATAAATAATTTAAAAAACTTAAGAATCTAGTATTTTATATAATAAAAATACTAGGTCTCTTCTCTAAACTATAATAAGAGATAATTATATTTATAATATTTTTTTTAAAAAAAGTAGAGAAAGTTATAAAAATATAAATTCTATTAGATTTTAATATAGAGATAAATTTTATAAACTAATATTAAATTAAATAAAGTCTATTTTTAAATAGTAGTAGAATATTAAAAAAGATATATATAATAAATAGCTATAATATAATCTTTTATAAAAGTTATATACTATTAATATATATAAAAGATATAAAAAATAAATTTAATAAATAATACTTAGAATTTAAAACTATTGATACAAATAAATATAATATAATTTTAGATTAGAACTAGCTAGAAGCTATTAAGCTATTAATAAATTAATAAGATAAATTATAGAAATATTATAAAGAAGAATCTATAAATCTAGAAATAATTATATTTATATAAAAATATACTATAAAAATATAAATATATTAAGTAAAAGTTTAATCTAAAAATAACTATCTCTAAATTAAAATTAATAGAATTTAAACTATAAAATTAATAATTCTAGAATAATATTATAGGTTTATAAATATTTTTTTAAAAAAAAGAAATAAAATTACTTCTATAATACTAGAAATAGAATTATATTATTAAGCTAGAACTAGATAAAACATCTTTATTAAAATTAATCTATTTATTATTTTTAAAAGAACTATAGATTCTATATAAATATATAGTAAAAGTACTTGAAAAAGCTAGATTAAATTATTAAAGAGTTTTTATAAATTACTAGTATTATTTATAGTAGAAAAAAATAATAATTTATATAAAAATATATATCTATTACTATTATTATAAGGCTGTAATACTAATATAGCGGCTCTCTAGGGATTATAGAGATATAATATATAATTAATAGAAGATAGATCTATATTTAATAGAACTAATTACTAGCTCTTCTAGCTAAGAACTAGTAATATAATATATATTTATATATTATATAGTAGCTGCTTAGCTACTATAGTATATCTTAAGTATACTTATATAATATTTATAAATAATAATATATAATAATTATTTCTCTCTTTTAAATAATTATAATTTTATAATTAGTTATTTTTAACAGGCTCTATAGTTAAAATATAAAATAAAAAAAAAGAAATCTAATAGTATTAAACTTAGTTTTATAAATCTAAAATTAAACTTATAATAAATATCTAAAATTAGTATATTATTATTTTATTAGTATAAATAACTTTAATAATATAAGTAAATATTATATAGCTAGTATTTATTATAAGTAAATTTATATATAGTTTAGTAATATTATAATATTAAAATATTTTTTATTTTTTATTTTTATTTTTTTTTCTCTAGATATCTTACTTTTTATTACTAATTCTTTTTATTTTTATAATTATCTTAATCTTATAAATTTTATTAATATTTTTCTAGATTAAATTAAGTCTTCTAGTACTATATTATAAATTAATATAGTAATATATTAATTTAATAATAAGAATTTTATATTACTATTTTTTAATTATATTTTAGATAATTATACTAATATTTAGTATTTAGATTCTTCT